CCACCGACTGTCTGCATTTATGCGAACGCTGTCTCCGGCGTCATTTCGTATACAACATCGACAGGTCGCTCTCTTTCGAGAGTTATCTACCCGCTCACATGTTTTCACACAAGCAGATTCGGTACGCAAACTATTGCAACAGACTTACGAATGACCTTTTCACATGATCTCTCGTTACGAAAAGATCAACATGGCCGCTTAGAGATCGTCGGCATTGATCGTCTCAAACCAGTTCACTTCGATGACAGTGCTCTACCAGATAACTTGAGACTCAATGCTAGACTTATCAAACCTACTAGCGAGATCTTTACATCTACTTCAGGTCCCACGCTAGATACATCAGAAACCTCATTATCACGTCCCGGTCAACAGCACGTGTCATCTGCACCATCTACGAACGAGACTTTAGTTTCACGTCCAGATCAGCAGACCGAGCCGCCCTTGACTTCGGATGAGATTGCAGGCTCACGAAATACGAACGAGACTATCGTCTCATGTTCTGGTCGCTGAATACGCTTACCCGTACGCCTTCGCGACTAACCGCACAGTCAACAACGGATACGGTATCGGATTATTTCTATACTATATGCGTACTACACGATTCTCTTTTTTTAATTTTTTTTGTATCCTGAGCCTACGCCACCGACCATCGCCCGTTTGATATCGTCGGCTTCAGCCAACATTGACGAAAGCTGGCCTGATCACCCATGCTCTTGTCAACGCACTCAGTCGATAAATTGGTTTCTAATGTTTGGCAATCATGGTTGTTATGGTCGTTTCTGGTTCCTCGGCTCAACGTGGTTTCGTCCTACGTCTGCAGCTTTTTCTGGTCCAGCCCACTACGAACACAATCTTCAGATCCTGGATACAAACCAATATAGTATGGTACGCCAACTCGAGCAACAAATACAGCACACTTCTGCTGGTACCGTTCTCAGTAAAAGACCTTCGCTAGCAACTCAAGAATAAATGATTGCATCCTGTTCCGCGTATCCTTTCGTCCTACAATTGTCGGGAAAGCGTAGTTGTTGGGAACAACATCACGCCTCCACATATTTCTCTCCACCTACTTCCACAGACTACAAGGCCACACATTCTTGTTCGTCTGTGCATATGATTTTGTGAGTGATTCATTGTCTGGATTATTTGTTTAGTGTTTGTATGCATGCGTTCGCGTGTGCGTTTTTGCTTTCTTGCGCTTGTGGTGTGAACTTGCATATTTGCAGCCTAACTGGATTTTGCAGAACCCATAATAATGAAGTTATCACTCGTGTTTGTTTGACCGGTCAGTTTTTATAGACGATTCACGCGAAAATCGGTGTCCTCCTGGAAATCTCTAACCGACCAACTTCGTGAAAATGCCAAATTTATTAATTTCGTCGATATCGCGATAAAAGCATTCTTCATATTTAAGGAACATATCGCATATGCAAGCATGCTTGCACACTAGGACACCCAAGCACACACTAGTATCGCAGTACATGCATCCGACTCGGCAATTGGAGGAGTCTTACAACATTGAGTTAATCACACCTGACAGTTTCTAAACACTGAATTGAGGTAAGGCACTTTAGTTAGGGAACTCCTAACTATGTATTGTGCTGTGCGATATTTTCAACATTATATCAAAGGCCGAGGATTCACTATTTTCACTTATCATAAACCTCTTATTTTCTCTTTAGGCTCCTATTCAGACAAGTTCTCACCTCGTGAGTCTCGACAACTGGACTACATTTTGCAGTTTACTTCAGACTGTAGAATCCAAACTACAGTTTGGACTGAAGTATAGCCGTCCAAGTAGGTTAGACACGCGTCCTTGCTCGTCAAAATCAAAACAAGTAATCGGGTAAAATGACGGTTCCATAATTCATCGTAAATTTAAATGTACATCGTTACCTAAACAAATATTATCATCCGGATATTTAACCAATAATCGTTCAATCAATCAAATCTAAATTACAATAAATAAAGTTTATAAAAGATGCGGGAAAAAATTACCAGTCACAACAAATGAACGCTATTCTATCCTGACTGGATAGACCACACACAAAAGAAGGAGCAAATCAATATGGCTGCAGCCAAGAACAAGTATCAAGTAAAACAACACAAATGCAGTTTGGGAAGAAACACAAAACTTAGTGAAGGCATAAGAAAAACAAAAACTATAATAAAAAACACAAATATTACCAATTCAAATGTAATCAAAAACTAACAATATACAACCAAGGGGATCAATAGGTACAAAGTGCAAGTGTATACATAGAGGGATTTCCACACACACACACACACACACACGCAAAACACTCAAAGCGCATCATACACACAAATCCAACACATTTTTGAAGCAAATGTATTTGCAGACGCCTTGCCTTGAATAACTTCCTCGAACAGTTTCCAAGGAATCGACCTTCTTAAACTCGCCCAGTTTCAAAAGTAGACACTGATCTTCAGCACGAGTTATCGTCTACAACTCTCAAGCTACGCATCATACAGATGAGAACAGGTAAGAAAACCTTACTTTGTGACACATCTACAGGTAGGGATCGCCCAATCATCCCGAAACGTTATCTAGGCAACGTCTTCAATACGTTGCACAAACTTTCTCATCCAGGTGTTTGTGCAACCATCAAGCTCATAGCAGAACGGTTTTGTTGGTCTGGCATGAATAAAGACGTGAGGGAGAGGGCACGCTCCTGTGTAAGCTGCCATAAAAATATATGGTCATCAGACACAATAAATGCCCCTTAGGCTCATTTAAAACTCCTGATGCTCGATTCAACCATATTCATCTGGATTTGGTAGGACCTTTACCAGATTCAAGTGTATACTCTTATCTCCTAACCTGCGTAGACCGTCTCACTCGATGACCGGAAGCAGTACCTGTCAAGCATATCACTGCTGAAACAGTGGCCCACGCCTTCGTCGAACGATGGGTAGCAAACTTCGGCTGTCCTTCAACTATTACTACAGACTGCGGACGTCAATTTGAATCTGAACTTTCCCGTTGTCTGACCACACTTTTGGGAATCACTCGCTTCCGAACGACTGCCTACCACCCATAAGCAAACGGTTGATAGAACATTTTCACCGACAACTTAAAGCTTCTCTATCAGCTGCAAACGTTTCACAGTGGACCGACGTTCCTCCACTCATCTTACTAGGTATTCGCAATGCAGTGAAAGCTGACATTGGATGTACTGTAGCCCAACTCGTCTATGGAACGACACTTCGACTTCCAGGAGAATTCGTGGATCTTTCATCCTCTTCAATGAACATGGATCTAACCTCCTACACGAACAGGCTTACAAACGCAATGCGTTCAGTTAAACCTGTTTCCACTCGACCTCAATCAACTGATGTTTTTATTCAACATGACTTACGATATAGTACACACGTCTTTGCGCAGCGAGACTCACATCGACGACCTTTCGAATCAGCATACAAAGGACCCTTCAAAGTTCTTCACTGCGAACCTAAGTACTATATAATCGATAAGGATGGAACCAACGATAGCATCAGCATCGATCGCCTCAAAGCAGCGTATTTAGAAGGAAATCCTATCCATGTCGATTTTCCCTCGGTACAATCGAACAACACGACTCCGACGCTAATAATACCTCATCCGACAATCAACACGCACGATGATACTTCGAAAGTATCTGAAACTAAACTTAAAACAACGCGTTCTGGAAGAAGAGTAAGATGTCCAAAACATTTAAATGACTATTGCACGTAAGACGCTAGTTAACATTTTGTTTCATCTTGATTTTCCATGGCATTATATATAATATTAAAAAAAATTTATATGCTTATATTTATATATATTTATTAGTTGGCTAATATGTATATTCAAAAAATTTTTTAAACAAAAACATTTTGTAAAAATCGCTTTTAGTCTATTTTCCTTTTTTCGCCCACTTTGTGTTTTGAGGCGCGTACAAGTTTATTTTGACATGCACTTACATATTCTTTTTTTCTGTTCCAGGGCGGATGGAAAAGACGGTAAAAAGAAAGATGAGATTAAGGAGATACCAAAACTTTTCATTGTACATTCCGTTTAGTACTCACAGTATTTTATGGTCCCTTATAGTAAGGGAAGAAGACCAGACGCCACTAAACCTAGCAAGCTATCAGAAGAGTGTTTACCGACGACAAACTCGTTGAGTTTAAACTTCTGGCTGGACATGTCTTAGGGTCATCATTACCCCATTACGAGGAAGTGATCTGTAGCAATAAATAAATCCACAAAATAAATAGCTCTGTACGTTCTCGACATTGGATACTGACTATATAATTTAATGGACTCATCTAGATGAAAGCGCTCCCTCATGCATCTGCACCAGATCAAAAGTGGGAGCGCCGTGCTCAACATCTACTGCAATCTCTAGTTAGACTAGATCAGACAATTCCGATATGTTGAAAATCGTCAGATACAACTTCTTATCTCCTCGATTCTGTCTTTTGATTTCTCTTGGTGTTTACGCTCCATATTAGGTGTTACTGGTTGAAGCGTTGTCAAACACTGAATACATGTGCCATCTTCAACAAACGTTATGTAAATGTTACTTGAAAGCTCCTCCTGACATAGCCACCTCGAATGGAGCTTTCTTGATCAGAAAATATTCATCTTCACAGTCAACACTGATTACGTGAAGTATAAATCCGATAGCGTTACTGTATGATAATCCAGGCCAAGAGTCTAATGTAGTGTACAGCTGCCCAAAATGATGATATAAGAATATTGTTATCTTGAATCAAAAGCCATGGCCAATATATCGGAAAAGTGAATGACTTAAATGAAATTTACTTCAAAATCGACAGTAGTGTGTGTATCTAATAGACTTAGTGACTATTCACTGACCCTATATGTCTATTCACAGTTGGTACGCATAAAAAACAATGATTAAGCGAAATTCGTCGCAAATAAAGAAAAGATATGATCGTAGATTTGTGGTTACATAAATTATTAAGAATACTTGTTAGTATTTGTTAGTAGTCACGCTAAACATTTGACTTCAAGGTCACAGTAATCGTCCCTCGGGTGTGTGGTTTACTGCGTTCAGGCAATCGCGTGGTTTTAAAATAGTCTGGTTCATGATTGTAATGTCAAGGTTTTAGTACGGAATTTGAAAAAAATATTGTTATGAATTTTAAACTTCACTGCATCACGAATCTACTAACCTTTAGAGATAACCGGGTCTATATCCTCGATCGTAAGGGTAAGGTAATTACCTTACCTACTATATTGTACAGCTTTAGTAGGACGCCCTAAAATCTTAATCTGCTTTGTGAATCTAGAGAAAGCGAAGATATATAAACTGCGTAACATACTAGGACTTGAGATATGGACTTTATGATCCTAGGATGCACGCTTGCGTCGTAGCTAATGTCAGTTCGTAATCGAGACACTAACTCTGTTTCTCAACTTAATTCACTGCTTCGCTTGGTCTAGAAACAATTAAATTACTCACTATTAATGTAGCACAGCTTCGTCACTGATGTACTGTCTCACGACTTCTAGGAAGCCTCTAGGCCCGGTCAATCATACTTGTCTTATCAGTTATCTCGTGTAGATACCTATCAAAATGCTTGACTAGTTTTAGTCATGGTCAACTAATATGCTATCCAACGTCACAGTGAACTATCCATCTTTCTGTACTAAGTTTTCCCCAAGAACGAAGATATTCGTCTAGGTATCCTTTGGAGTGTTGCTTTTTCCTAATGTGAATATTTGAAGCGAAGTTAACAACTCAAAGGATAAACTAGCGCTTCAGGAGAGTCTGACTTTACCTCTAAGGTGGGTAAACGACCATGGACTTCCTTTAGTTTTGTAAAGTGAAAAGCACATCTGTGGCACGATTCGAACTTCGTGTGTAACCTAAATAGATCTCCACTAGAAGTTTCGTTTGTTGAAAAAGATATAGACGTCTTAATTTTTATGCGATATAGAATCATATTCTATCTGTTACAAAAATCCTTTAGAGGTAACCAATTACTTTGAACAGCGATTTTAATTAGCTTGATAATAGTACTTTCCATTCAGTTTTTAGGTTTCGCTTAACGCGACCTATAGAATGGGAACGTAAGTTCATCCACCCCAAAGGGATATAAATACTTCTAAGATGGAACACGAAATCAGTTCACGAACTCAAACTAAAACCCTGCCAGGAATTCCTTAAAACTCTGTATCTTTATCCCGTAGAATATCAGGTACTCAGAGGAGGGCTTATTTTGACCTACAACATTCTGTACATCATTGAGAACCATCTGAGTCGCTTACTTCGTTTCTCTTTTAATAAAAAGTTTGAAGGGAGTACTGGGAATCTGAAGTGTTGCGTAGCAGGTCGGACTGAAGACATGTATATTACAAGTAGTCAGTGTAAGCTAAATTCGGTTTGAAGTGGCTCAACAAACTTTCCAGGAGTTCCTCAGTGGGCAACTGCATCTCTGTGCTAATGTGGTGTGTCAACTCGAACTGATGCACGTACTTACGAAGTTCTACGTTGTTACTGACTGACTGACAGTAAATAGAAATAGCATAATGGCGTGACTATTCTAATAATATGGACTCATTCTTGTAACTTGTTCTAAATAAACTGGAGTAACTCATGTTAATACCGAAGAATAATATGTGTTTTATGTAAAGATTTATCGTTGTCGCGTAACCTAATTTCTCTGACGAATCAAGATGTTTAGATTCAGAGGACTGAATAGTCAGATATTCTCAAGTATATGGTCTAGTATAGGGATTGTTAAGGATACGTATTAGGATATGCCAAAGTGTGTTCACTACTTTTTATACAACACCGAAACGTCTAAGGGTGGGAAACTAAAAGCCCCAACCTTTTGTTTCAAAGGGGAATGAAATCCCCCTGAAAATTTGTAGTGTTTATTACCTGATTTATAAAGCCGGTAAGTCATAAGAAAGGTAGAACTTAACATATGTTCATCAGTTCAAACAACCATACCATGTAAATACAGTTTGTCATAATGAGATAAGGACAGTATTAAGGGACAAGAGTTATGAAATTTATTTTTCATATAAAAGGTTACAATGTTTGCTTTATTCAGACACTCATTTTCACTCATTAGTACACATGTGATGAACAGTGTGAAGAACTGATCACATCGGTTAGAGCGTACGAAAATATGACTTACCTAGAAATCAATAGAACACCCGATATTTGAAGCAAAAGTTGGTGTCACATACATTTTTTTTCATTAGTTGGAGCTTCATGATGATGAGTATACTCACTGATTTTCTCTGAAGGTGCGCGTAATGATCTCAACAAGAAATTGGAATCCCTATCCTGGTTTTAAATGTGAGTAACTGTTTAGACCAAAGCTGCATAAATTCACTCGATTAATAAGTGACTGATATGATTAACGATTATTTCTATCGTCGTAGAAAGCTGTTAGCAGGCATTTAGTTATATCATCACTTTATATGTCTTGACACCATTTCAGGTTGTAGGAAGAGGCAAACGATCATACTGTTTCTGATTCCGTTATTTACTTAGCTTTGTTTACATAGTTAACAATCTCTATAAATGATCTGTGAAATGCGGTTCGGTGGAGTGAATAAGATAAAAAAGCAGCGCTCGAAATCTCGCCAACATTTGATGTTGACGGGTTCTCAATATTCTGATATCATTCTTTTCATATTTTAGGTATTTGTACATATTTGCTTACATCTGAAGATTTGTTAATTAGCTCAATTTACCAGATATCTGAATCGATTAATTTTATAGTAGAATGAATATTGGGGGAGTTCAAATATAGTGAGTTAGGACTATAATTAATTATTGGATTGTAGCTTGATTAAGATCTTTAGACGTGGCTTCGCTGTTATTTCTAACAAGCCTTACAAAGTTTCTATCTTTGATTCATGGAACACATGTAAACATGCTGACGGAGATCAGCCGGATTTTCGTAATGTCCCAACAGTGTCCGCTATACTAAGTAAAACAGCACCCTTGGAAAGTACAATTGCACTCCGAAAATGGCAGGATAAAAAGAAAATTGAACTTGGCGAAGATGGATTTCAGGAGTACATGAGAGGTAAATACCACTAGACGGATGTTTTTGTTAAATAGAACTTCAGCTTTTAGGAAAAAGTGTTCATTCCAGTGTAGAAGCACGACTTATAAAGGGCAAGTTTCCTTCTAATCTACCTGAAAATGTTTCCAAATATTGTGAAAGTCTAAAATATATCTTGGATGATTTAAAGTCTTCTGCAGTAGAAACTAACTGCTTCCATCCTCAGCTTTTGTATCGCGGGAGGTTTGATAGTATAGTATTTTTAAAGTAGGTTTGGGTTTAACAAACTCTTTAACGTTTTTTTGTTGGATACAAAGTCCGTATGTTTACTAAAGTTTATTAGTATTCCGTGTATCTCTTATTGACAAATTTTCTCACAAAATATATTTGTTTGTGAAGGATTCCGTAGCTTAAAATAATTTATTCAAAGTACCTTAGATTAAAGTTTCTTATTTATTGATCATTTGTTCTCATCTGAATTTCTTTAGCATATGTCTTACTATAAAGAACTGTTTAGATTTGATTTTCAACCAATCGTATATGTATATCCTATAGCTCATAAATATTACGGCATCTACTCACTCTTCCGTGATCAGTTTTTGTATTTTTCAATGAGAATGTCCATAGTTGTAACTGATTCAACATATTAATTTAGTAATCCTGTGATGGTGCTATTAACCTATGGAATGCAGTGCCAGCATTTCAAATGGTATCTCTTTTGAGACCATGCAGCTATTAAATGTCTTAGTGAAATTGCAGTTTGGTGAGTAAAATACTTGACTTTTAACTGTAAATCCATCTGTTCTATGTACTTCGATTTCATTTGACCTCGCACAAGTTAACTCGAAAGTCAGTATTTAACCATGTACATTTGTTTTCTGATTGACGTTTGGATTAAATATTTGTTGTGCATTTCGATTTAAGAAAAACGGTAGGCAACCGAGTATAAATCATTTTATTCAACTATCAGTTCGTTTATTTCATTTATCCAACAAAGCATTATTTCTTGACCGAAACTTAGAGATATAAACGAACCTATTTTGACTGAATGGAAAACAGTACACGAATCCAAAAGAATATTGACTATTGAGCAGTCTTATGATAGTCCATTACAAGTTGCCGCGTATATTGGAGCTTATAACTTTACTCGTTATCCTGAATCTTTGCCTGTAAGTTTACGTTTTCTAGAATTTTTCCTCCTGAAAGCACACTGGTGGCTGTAAATAACATAAAAGATTTTGGTTTTATTCAAATTCCCTTTTATTTAGAGAGCTGTTGAATTTTCGTAGTAATTACGTATTTCGTAAACAAACAGATCTAAATGAATGCGTCAATCCAAGTTGTCACGCTTCACTTAAACGGAGTGAAAAAATAAACAAAAGAGAAAGCAAGAAATAAAAAACAGTCTCAGTCGTAGTGGAAAACTACAGGAGAGAAATAAGGTCTGTGAAATTTGAGGAATGAAAAGTATGCAGTGATACAATATTCATGAATTAGGAAGTCAACTAATAATTAAATCCAACCGTTTGTTACGGTTAATTTGTGGATCATAACGTAAACGTGTGTGCCTTTTTACACGGCTCAAGTTAATGGTAAACGATTTGAAAAAGTAAACTCTGTTCTAAATCTGGTCTCACGTATTCTATATGTGGATCACTTCTATATGAGTGTACGTAAACTGACCAACTTTGCCAATACTCACGTTTCAAGATGCACGTGGGAAGATGGCATGGGTTCATATTTTGCACTCAGTGTGTGCGAATGTTACTATCTCATCATTTTGAAGTATGCTACATATCAAAGAACTTAGTTCGTGTCACTGTCTAAAAGCAAAAGCATCACCTATTTTCTGCACCAATTATCTGAGTTCTTAGTATTGTGAACGATAAGTGTCAGTTATTATTTAATTCTTATTAGTTTCACACTTGTTGATTACAAATTATAATGTCATCTTACTTGCATTACAGTGTTATGTGTCTCAATAGTTTATTATCTACGCTAATGTCTTGTTTCATGACGAATTCGCAACGTGGGACTTATTTCAATTTGTTTAAGGAAAGACTTAATTCTTAATTTGATGCACGTAACTTCACTTTTAACTTTGAACATAAAGACTTGTTAATCTGCGCAATCTAGAAATGCAAATAGTTTAAGACCATACACGGAGGCATTGTTAGCAAAACAAGTGACGAATTTGTTGTTTGTTACAAAACAATGGAGAGATCTGGTTGTTAAATAGGTCAGCGTCTGATCTCGTGATGTAATGGTTGTAATTACTTAATGTTTAGTGTACTACAACCGCACATTGGTTTACAGTTTACATGATATTTACATACAGCTCTTAAAACTTAGTTAAATCAATCCAGTTATGAAAACGATGGAACATCCCGTATACTTAAGATTATTTTATTGGCTCTATATGTTTCTGGAAAGCTCATCCACCATATGTCCATCTAAAAATATGCTTATAATTTTTAACCGCGTTTCTTAGCATCTAATTCATTGTTATTTCAAAATAGATGACAATGCATTTTGAATCTAACTTAGGTCAAAAAAGGAATGCTGGTGTATTCTTATGGTGATGGTTATCCAGCTGCTCGATTTGTTTTAAACGAAACTAACTTGTTACATTACTGGGAGTTGTGGTGTGAACGTGTTCAAGCTTATTATGATCAGGTAAATTGTTTAGCATGTTTGGTTGACCTTTGTTGTGCAGTACTAAATTTTAAAATTTCCTCAGGTTCATGTTTATTTTTTGGAAATTAATATCTTTTTCGACAAGCTTTTTGTGATAATGTGCCGTATTAGTTATTTTACGTATGTTATCAATCCGTGATAACTATCTCTAACTCTACCGCACCATTTATAGTTTATTCTAACTGTACCGTACATTACATGTCTCTACTTTCTCTCCGTCATATGTGTAAAATATTCTTACGATGCTGATAATTATTAGGCTAGCTAATTTGCTTAGAAAATTGCTAACAGAATAAGAGTTTTTATGAGTTATGCAATAAAAATCTCATCTGGAAGACGTAAAAAAATATGGTAATGATTTTAAATTAACGCTTTTATTCATTAGGACATGTGTTTTTTTACGGTCCAATTTTTGTCTTTCGTTTTCTTTCTGTATGTGTAAAAGAAAAAAAAATCAAAACAGAATAAAAGTTGATAGAAGTGTAGACAAAGCTGTAATGTGTGTGGATATGTGTGTGAATGAGTGGTTTTAACTGCTTGGTTATTAATTAAATTTTGATATCATTACTGGAGATGATGATATGCTGATAATGATAATACTAACAATAAGTGTGTAATGTAGAAATGATAAAAGTAATGATGAGTGTACTGTTACCTACATTTTGAATTTTAAATATATAAGTATGTGTATTTATCTGTGTAGAATAGGATGAGATGTGAAATGCTGTATAGTTGGCCATGTGACTGGTCCATGACTATCACTGTTACTATTGCTATTTGACCATGTGTTCTGCTTTTTAGGAATATTGTAAAACTGTTCAGTAGTGTTAGTGTTATTACATTGTTGGTAATAGCAAGTGTACAATGGTATGTTTTCATTCGATTCAGGTAGTAAATGTGCTGATAAAATATCATCATTATTATTATCGCTATTATTATTATTATTATTATTATTATTATTATTATTATTATTATTATTATTATTATTATTATTGTCATTATTGTTATTAGTAGTACATATTTTATTATTTAAACTCTTTTCATCACATATTATTTGAAGATGCTGGTGATTTGAGTTCTCTATTTGTTGTTCTATTATATTTTCAATTGTTTTCGGTGTATTATTCTGATTATATTCGTGTTTCATTTTGATCGTATCAGATTCATATTGATTATTCAACTGATTATCAATTATTTGTGATGATGTCATATTTTCTTGCATGATTATTACCTCTTTTTTATTACCATTCTCCAATTGGTTTAATTTATTTTGTTGTTTTTCCATAGAATTCATATGTTTATTATTCATAGTTAAAACAGTTGTTATTGTAGTCTTATCTTGTGAACTATTATAATCATTTACTGTGATTGGACTAGGTGAACAACAAGGCGATGAACATGTAGTAGAATAATACGAATTAAATGTTACATTATGCATAAAAATATTCGGTGTAGATGGTTCACTTTTTATATGTGATATACATTGACTATTATTATTATTATCATTGTTATAAGTAATATGTTTATTGTTATTGTTATTATTCTGGTAATGATAATTAGTATCCATTGATAATATCAAATTTTTTAATAAAATTTCTTTTGGACTTTTTTGTTGATTTATTAATTTACAGTTTGTTTTATTTTGTGAACTAGATGTTGTTATTTCTTTTATTGTTTTAATATTGTTGTCATATTGTTGTAAAATTGTATCTTTTACATGTTTACTTTCAATTATTTGATGATCTTCAGTATTATTAATATTACAATTGTTATTATCATCATCATTTATAGATAGTGATTTCATTAAATTTAACTGATTTTGTTGTTTTTTCAATGTATAATTTGTTTCATTCAATGATTTCAATTTAATAATCATAGGTGAATTAGTAATTTTTGCTACAGTTGTATTCATTGTTGGAATTATATAATCATTAAATTTTTTAATAGGACTATAACTTTTATTATTTTGATTTTCATAATTAACAGTATTATGATGATGATGATCATTTGAATTAACAAGTTCATTTAATTTAGTGTTGGATATTGTTGATGATGGTTGAATTAACTTTATATCATCACTGTTGATGATAGTGTTCTCTCGTTTGTTTGCTTTCAAATGTTGAATATAATGATGATGATGTTGACGATAACGATGATGAATAGATTTGGAATTACATTCGTTTTCTGATACTTTTGTTATTTTTGTTGTGGATGGCATTGATGTCGCTCGATTATTTGTTTTATAAGATTCTTTTAATATTAAAACTGGTGAAGAGGATGGTGACACTGATGACGATGATGACGACGTTGATACTGAAATAGGTGATTTTATTGATGCTTCTAATTCCGATTGATCCTTGTTATAATCATGTAGTGATTTTACTAGAAAAGGTTTAACACGTGAATAACACCGTTGGTAATATCGACGATATCTTGACCGTGTTGTTTTCGGTGCAGTAGTAGTTGTAGTATACTGATGGTAATCGCTTTTGCGTTTATATTGATGGTGATGACGATGATCATACCGACTTTTCATTAAATAACATCCGATTAAGATAGAAATTGGTAATCCAAATATACAAATTAATATTATGCTAAATATTAAAATATACATTTTCAGTGTTAATTTAAGTCTCATTTCTGTAGAAATATTTGCTTGTTCATTGTTTAAATAGTGAAGATTTGTTTGATTATTTGCTTGAAGAAAAATCTTTTCCTGACTTTTTAATTCATTCTGACTTAGTTGGTTAGTTATGGGTACGGTATTTGTCTTTTCATTGCCTAAACAAAAATTTAAAGGAATTAAAAAAAAGTAGAGTTGTTAAATAATTTTCTTGTATTTGCGAAAGTAAATGAAGTAATGGTAAATACTTATTATCTAAACTTGATCACCTTTAACCAACCATTTCCAAAATCAGTCTAAAGTTGTCTTAAATATGAATTGTTTATTAATTTAATATTAGTCTAAAGCAGTGAATTAATGGCTTTTAATCAGTAGGCCACATATTCAAAGTCGGCCTCACTCATTTCGGTCTTGAGGGTCGGGTAATATCATCGACTAGCTGTTACACAGACGGTGTGACTTAAATCCAAGTACAAAAATCTGTACTTTGTAAATGAGTTACATTCATTTATCATAATAATAATAATAATAATAATAATAATAATAATAATAATAATAATAATGATAATAATAATTGTTATTATTATTATTAATGTTATACTTCTCATCAGTACTTTCGAAATAAATAAAAGTCTATTTCACTCTGATTAGACGTGCGAAATCCATATCTGTTAAATTTTTTCCTTCAATATTTTTTTATATGATGAAAGTTCAGTTCAATTGATTTTGCAGGTCTAATACAGTGAAGTTGTTTTAGCTCATATTCGAATTGGTGCTTTAAGAGTATTTTACTGATAATTAGAGTCCCTAGATTTGATTATTTGTTCATAACTGAAATTTCAAAATGCGATGAAACAACCATCAAGTTTTTTTAAATTTTAATGGCTCATTCTATGTGATTTTGACTGAACTGTCTAATTTAACTATTCCATAAAAATATTACCCTTTCAACTGTTTCAAAAGAAACTAGACTGTAATATTCTAAAGATAATTTGCTAGTGGATACTGTGACTCAGTAGTTAAATCGTTTGATTTTCAGTCCCTGTGTTGCTTATTCGAACTCCGCTCCATCTGCTTCGATCTAGGCAATTGGATATTATTAACCCTTTCACTTAAAATGTGGCTCGAAGCCAATTACATATATCTTGACCTGATAAATGAAATAGTAGTAAAATTATTTTGTAATGCTTGTTTTTTTGTATTTGTTATTCAAACAATCTTTTGTTTGATTACTTTTTATGTGAATACTCGTAATATTTGCTTGTTTGTCCCTTATAAGAATATGGTTCATATACAAAATTATTTGTTTATAATAATGTAGCTTGTAAAGTTCATTTTTATAAATGTTCATAGAGTATTGATAAATCCTAGTCCTTTTTTCCCTACTGAAGTTACATGAATTAAGTACAAATAAAGTACAGTTGAAAACTCTGAGTGACAAAGCTCAGAATCAAGTGTATACACTCACTGTCTCCCCTTAAACCGTAAGATTAAGATTGCTTTATACCTTTCTTTCTACGAACTAATTCCTTCTCCCTATATCATATCCTTATATGCAATCTCTTTAAAAAAAATATATTACTACTATTGAAGTAACTACTTTTTTAAACTCGGTGTTCATCTTGTTGTGCTAATGAAGTGTGGCAATTTGGATCAATGCATATAATGTGCCTGATCCTACGTTGTAGATGACTGATTGACTGACAAATACAGTAACAATATGACTGAAGGCATAGTAGTTTTAATTTCTTGGGTGTATTTATGTGATAAGTAAACTTACTTATTTTTCTCTGATTTTAAGTGAATAAGTATAACATTCACCTGCATATACAAAATCCAAATATGTATTAAATTGATGAATCATTAATGTATATTTTTGAGTGAATTATTATTAGTAAGCAAACACTTTTTATTTTTGTTTTAGTGCAACAATCCTTCTAATGAAGAATGAGATTTGAAATTTCGGATGGATACACAAAATATACCCATATCTACTTGTTGCAATATCATCATTTCATCAGTGGTTTAAATGAAATAAGAGAAACATTATTTTTTAAAACTATATATGCATTTAATTGGAATTTATAATTGTATATACAATTACTAATTCATAGTTTACTTAATTCTTATTTACTGTTCTCTTCTATAAATAGTTGACTGCTTCAGTTTGCCGATGTGTAACGTTTGTTAATTGGTCGACTTAGCTATCTTCTCTCTTTCTCATACACATATCAATCATTTGCACCAACAAGAATTTATTAAAGGTTTTAGGAATGAATTCAGACATGAGCTACGTGGTAAATCATTCATAGAACTGTCTGTTTTTCAATAATTTCCTATGAAGTGTTATGCAGTAACTATGCATCTCCAGATAACTACAGTTGAGTTTCTTTAAAGTAACACGGTAGTTGACGGAGAGTAATCCTTGTCAGTTTTTCAAATTGTTTTCAAAAGATAAGAACACAATAGCACTTTATCTAGTTGTCTATTTCTTACTGGGAAGATTACGTTATAATTATTTAAAACATTAAATAAGATAATCGGTAGTAGACGTGAACTAACTACTTTTTGGTGGTTTTTCACCATGTTTTACGATTTAGTAGTACAATGTCAATCGCTGCCTATTTTTAATTCATAAGCTTAAGATGGTCCTCTTACAACTTAATGGTCATGTGTTTGGTTTTATAATTAATCATGTATGCCTTCTCAACAGTTTTAGATTTCTGAAATAGCTCTTAATTGTCTGTGACGTTACATGGTACAGGAAAAAAGATTTCAACCTGATAGGTGCATCGGTTTTGATTATCACTGTAACTGTTCTGAAAAAGATATGAATAAGTAAATAGGAAAGTATATATAAGCTAAACAGGTAGATGTAGAGTATTAATATGTTCAGGGCTTACAAAGTTTGTGATGTCAGTCCCATTATCATCAATCTTCAGTTATGTTACTAAGATCTTCAACCATTAATTCATAACATCTCGATAGTCAGTGTTGATTTACTCGACACGATACGAATGTGAAGTCACTGATTTTATGGACTGTTGTCATGTTTTGATCTAAGCTCCTTCCATAATTTTATTATTGTTGAGGATTGTTCAGAATGTATCACAACACCACTTCCTTGTATTTAACTAAGTCAAATTTCCATTCATTCTAAGTGATACTGTGGTGTGTGCCACTGAATTCGACAGATATAAGCAGAATGTATCATCAAACGCAAGTGAAATGCCTGGCGGCAGAAGGTTAAGAAGATTGAAAAAAGAACGAGAACAGAGAATGATTGGTGTGGAAACGAAGGAACAATCAAGTCTGAGACGATTGATTGATATTTTGCAAATGGAATTGTTTACTGTATGGTTCTCATATTGTACTAAGCTGTTCTGTAATTTTATATTCAAATACACTCAATTGTCCCACTTGTATTCTCGTTCACTACAATACTAACAATTTATTTATCTGAAAGAAGTTGTTACACTTCAAGGGTTACCCCTTTGACCTATTTCCAGGTGTTGCAGGGAGCCAAACTGTCTGTTATGCAGTGGTCTATTTGCGGAATTCATCGATTAATTTTAAAGTCCTCTAGATCATCCAAAACACGAAACGTCAGAAAAATTAAATTTTCATACCCGTTGTGATATCACTTATTAGTTTTATTAATAACAATCTACCCAATGCTCAGTTTATTTGAAATTATGCAGTCAAACCTTGATAATGACACTTAACCATCAGACAGCTTATAATTGAACAATCGAATTATTAAACTTTTAGGTTCAAGGTTCAGCGCGGTAGTGTAACCCTATACAATTAATTATCACATCAGTATTATTATTTGCATACACTAATAATAAAGTATAAAATATGATTCTACTTACATCGTTCACAGCATTTATCTCTTGGCGGGAGTAATATATGTCTTAAATTCTCAATAGATTCCACAGATTGTTCACATGGTGGGCAGTGATCGGTGCAGA